GAACGACAGCCCCCTGGCTGTAACCAGGCGAGACCGGGTTCTCTTCTTTCAGGGTCAGAAGCGGAAGCACTTTACGCCGTTCTTTTCTCAGAAGCTGTACGTATTTCATCCTCATAATCGTAGTGTCCTCCCAAGCCGGTCACTTCTGAGAAGTTTTCGGGGCTAGGATTTCAAGCTTTTCTTGCTGCGCAGTTGGCCAGCTCGTTGCCGTAGACACCCTGATAGTCTAAGGCCCACATGGTTGTCAATTTGTTGCCGTCCAGTCGAAGTTCCCATCCGACTGCGCGGTGTTATACCAAAAAAGAAGGGTGAGCGATGGTGTGTGACGGAACGGCGCTGTGCGTCTATGCTGACGTTGTGTAGCAGGGTGACAACACTGGAATGGCATGGTACTGCGATACGTATAGGGGTGTCGCGAACTTTTGTCGAACCGGATTTTTAGGTCGAACTTTCGGGGTTCGACTGGATCGAACCGTTTCGACGAACCTTCGAACTTTTCACCAGATTCGACCGGTTCGACTTTGTGGACACTGTGGCCAGACCTTGATACAATCATGTCTAGGTTTGGAGAATTTTTTTTTGTATGCAATGGGTTATTTTATTTTATGAACAGCTGCAATTAGAAGAAATCAATTCCTATCACTGAAGAAGTTAATAACTTAATTTTTTGTACTGAATTAACTGAAAGAATCAATCAGCGCTGCCCTTCATTCATCTCTTAGGCATCACCATCCAATCCGAAGCCAACTGGCCTGCCTGTCGCGCATGCGCACACGAGTCGAACCTCAATACAAGAAATGATGAAAATAATCCCTGGAGAAGAGGAACAAGAGGGACAAAGGACAAACACAAATCTCCAAACACAGCTAGGTGACTGGTGCGCGACCGAAAAAATCCGCCTGGTCCGGGTATCGAACCCGGGACCTCTCCATTACATGTGGAGCGCTCTACCAACTGAGCTAACCAGGGGTTAGACGTCAGTAGAGCAAACGGGTTTTATCAGTTGCCACCAGTCTGACACCAACAAGGGTGAAGCGTGCAATTTTAAGGTTAAGATTATAATGCAATTAAATGCAAAGGTGCAAGCGAGCTCGCTTGCACCTTTGCATTTAATTGCATTATAATCTTAACCTTAAAATTGCACGCTTCACCCTTGTTGGTGTCAGACTGGTGGCAACTGATAAAACCCGTTTGCTCTACTGACGTCTAACCCCTGGTTAGCTCAGTTGGTAGAGCGCTCCACATGTAATGGAGAGGTCCCGGGTTCGATACCCGGACCAGGCGGATTTTTTCGGTCGCGCACCAGTCACCTAGCTGTGTTTGGAGATTTGTGTTTGTCCTTTGTCTCTCTTGTTCCTCTTCTCCAGGGATTATTTTCATCGTTTCTTGTCCAGCTCGCTTGCACCTTTGCATTTAATTGCATTATAATCTTAACCTTAAAATTGCACGCTTCACCCTTGTTGGTGTCAGACTGATGGCAACTGATAAAACCCGTTTGCTCTACTGACGTCTAACTCCTGGTTAGCTCAGTTGGTAGAGCGCTCCACATGTAATGGAGAGGTCCCGGGCTCGATACCCGGACCAGGCGGATTTTTTCGGTCGCGCACCAGTCACCTAGCTGTGTTTGGAGATTTGTGTTTGTCCTTTGTCCCTCTTGTTCCTCTTCTCCAGGGATTATTTTCATAATTTCTTGTCCAGCTCGCTTGCACCTTTGCATTTAATTGCATTATAATCTCAATACAAGGTTCGCCAAACTTTTCACTAAAAGTTCGAAAAAGTCGAACCTGGTCGAACTCGAACCGCGGCCGGTTCGCGACACCCCTAGATACGTATGACTCAGTCGACACAATAGCTGGGACTTCCCAGCAACCCGACAGTGAAGACAGCGGAGCTTCAGGCACTGTTGCTAGCTGTTCACAAGGACGACACGCTTCCTCGATACAGCATACCGACATCATCACGTCTACTGCTGCTCCGACTCCAGAGAGGAAGTGGACGAATGTGGGACGACCTCCACCCAAAGCCATTGCGTGTTCCAGAAAACAAAGCAGTTGGTTTCACTTCGAATAAGAAACTCTATATCATACCTGCATTTTATCATTTTGGGTATAGTGTCATACAACGGGACGACGTCAATGTGCTCTGACGGGCGTAGCCACGTTGAGCTGCCCTTCATTCGCAGTGTGCAGATAGCCCAACAGGGGGCGTTTGTTACTCGAAAAATCAGCATTAAGCAAGCAGAACGAAATGTCGAGAGATAGAACTAGCTGGCATACATCAAACGACGAGGTGGTCTGATACGCTTTGATGACACTGGCAGCGCCGTGGGGTGACGGGTTTGTTACGGCGCCAAGAGTGCACAAATCTGGCAAGAAGACGACGCTGCTACGCAAAAAGTGGCGGTGACGCCTGTTTTATTCTGGACTCCCATAACGTAATTTACACCACTGATGTATACGTATTACATCATATCCTGGAAAACAGCAGTCGTCAGGTGATCGTATATGTTCACGAATATTTTGACTTTGTGGCATGTTAAGCGACCTAGTAAGCCAGTAAAACAATACTACGCTAAACGAGGTAATGGGTCCAATCGAACAGCGCCAAAAGCGCATGTCACTAGGCCTTTTCTGTTTATGATTGGTTCAGCGATGATAGCGTACAGAAACATGACGAATACCACGATGGCGTGATTTTGACGCTCTCATCGGCGCCATCAGCTCGTAGCGTCGGCTGCGTTGGAGAATCGTCTTCAGGGCAGAAAACCGGTTCCCACTTTCCTTTTTTCCATTCCCTCTGGTACTCTTCTTTCTTCCCTACAGCAGTGGATCTCTGAGCTACTCCTCCAGAAAGGAGGACGGTCTCCTTCCTTCTTGAATCGGAAGAAGGAATTGAGGGAGAGTTTCCTCCTTTCTGCTTGTACCGGAGAAACCTTTTCTTCTCAAATAGAGATTATATGCGTTGAAGAACATCGGGAGGAACGCTTTCACAGTCAGCAAGAGAATACGTACCTCTCTGTCCACTGGGCCGCTCCTCTCATGCAACTCAATAAAGTTATTCGAGCAAACTTTCCAGGTATGTGTAGTGACAAAAAGAACTGATTCCATTGCTCGTTTGGATTTCTTCAGAAGTCCGACCATTCTGTGTATGCAGATACGGAACGGGTTATGTGACAGTAAGCTTTACTTTGGCTTTATCTCAAACACTCTTTTAACCGGGGCATTTTCGGATTGCGCACTGGCCTTCTCTGCAATGTTTTATACAAGATTAACATTTTGATTTGTTAATTGCCACAAAAAACATATACAGGAATTTAAAAAGGACACATGTAAAGGGGTTTGAAAGTTGATGTTTATGATTGTAGTTAAATAAATATCAAAATCTTGCAAAACCATGTGTAGACTACCACAGACTGTTGAGACCACAGCTATGACGTGCGACTCGCGAGTCGGCAAGTGATTGACATGGCCCACAAGAAAAAAAAAGTATATAAAAATATAACTCGCGTCTCAGCATTGTTAAACATGTTTGTCTTTATTCCGCTCACGGATATTTTTTTGCCGCAATCATGTAGGTTGAGTTTTATAGCTGTAAGCATTTCATTCCCAAACGCACCAAATAATGACGCAGCACGTAGGTTGCATATCCTCATTTGTCGATTGCTCTAGTGGTGACTCAGGAATTGGAATATATTTTTTTTAACCTGTCAGCTCTTATAATAACACAGGGAGGCAGGCAGTCTTTGTACGATTCAAGTACACAATAAAAAAAAAAAAGAAACAGCGAACCAACGATAAAAAAGTGGGCTGGAGGCCGTAAAAGATGGCAAGTGCTTTTCTAAGTTTTTAGATATCCGATATTGTCACTATTGAGTCTGGTAATTTATCCCAATTATTAATAGAAAGCTGCAGAGGAAAAAATTAGACATACTTGTCCTAGGAAGGGACAAAATAAGCTTGCACGAGGTTATCTAAGCGACGGGAGGTGTGAGGTGCAGATATGCAGTATAAAGATCTTTGCAAAGGAAAATGAAAGTAAAATTTATGACGAATGGTTAAGGCGGATATCGTCCTACATGTTTTAAAAGAGGGGAGGCCAAGTTGAGTTTCAATATCACTGACACTAGCCGTGAAATTATAGTTATCTCCTATTTATTGGAATAGGTTTAGTGTTTTGTTTTTCATTATAGCTACCCCTCGTCCAAGTCACTATTATTGTTTTGTCTGGAGTCGTTCCCGGATCTTAAACATCCGCGAACGACTCCAGATCCGAGCTAGAGAAACGGCGCTCCATTCGAGTGATCGGCAAGTTTTCCGAGCGGCCAGAGCGCCGACACAGAACTGGATACAAAGAGCAACTTCGGCAACCGCCCCACTGCCGTGCCTCAAGCTACCGCCCGATACGAAAGGTTTAGCCAATACCATTGATCGTCTCATTCAGCACTCCTTCACGTCGCACCACCAACGCCACCGCCTCATGTTCGCATGACCGCACAAAAAATGACAGCCTTCAATGCGGACGCTGGTTATCGTTGCGAAAGTCCTTCGTCCAGCGCCAAGCACCCCCTGTCATGCACAGCACAGGGGGATCGGTGTGGTCTTCAAACGCAGCCACGTCCGACGCTAAACCTCCAAGGTGATATCGGCTTCTTTTTCTCTCAACCCAACGGCGGAAATGGCAGAAGTCACAAGATCACAAGTCACAAGATCACAAGACCTTTGGCACGCGGTTCGATCCACCGCTTCCGCTTTGAAATTAGAGCGTTCCACAGCCCTACGAGTCGGGAAAACGACGCGATCCGAAAATCCGAGAGAGCTCCGAAAGAACCGGCTGAATATACTTAAAGCGCCCGACTTTGATAGCGAATTGGCGCTGGCTATTCAGAGCGCTCCAGAACGCTGGAAAGCGACCACCCTAATGTACCATTAGAGAAAAGAACAATCAAGGAAACTTGGAAGCTCGGGGAACCACTGAGTTTTGTTCGGCTCAGTTTTATTACCTTAAAGGTATACTCTAAAAAAAAAAACACTTTACTTAAAAAAAAAAAAAAAAAGGTGGGGGGGGGGGAGCATATTCTGAGGGGGCTATTTCAGGGAGCTCCTGGGTTTCTAGGTTAACCTAATGAATGGGATACTCACCTCGCTTTCCGTCCCGTGATTTTCAGGACAAAGTCAAAGAACAGTGCCGGCAGATAATTGAAGACGAACACGGTAACTGCATAGTAGAAGCGACTCTTTGTCAATTTCAATCCTGGACGGCCGAACCTGGCCTTGGCCGGGTGCTTGCGTAACATCTTGTTTGTAAGACTCTCCACCTGGTCATAGGAAAGCTTGTTGATTGTGCCACTTGCGCAGTTGTACACCGGTGGATGGCGTCCCAACTGCTGCTGGTGCATGCATCTGGATGGGTGCAAAGGAGGGAGCTGATAGAAGTGCCTTTAAACTGTCTGCCGATGTCCCAGGGTATGCATAAACGCATTCATTCGGCACACGTTTCATCAGATATTGATATCTATTTTAAAACCAGTGAACCATAATCTTAGAAATATTGTTTTTAGAACATTTATTTTTTGCTGAGAAGCCCAGCGACCGTTATCAACTAGGCATTGGGCAGCTTCGAAAAGTTTAAAGCACAAAAACCGAAGGAAATATTTTCGATCAGAGGTTTTTTTAAATCTAAACAGAGCGCGTTCTACCTAATAGAAACTAGGAACTGACGCATATATTTGTTTCTGTTTCAGAAAAGTAAGAATACTGTAATAGAAAAACTACAACGCAGTAATCCTAGGTATTAATTTAGATTATATAATTCGCTCTAATTTGATGTTACCACTCCAAGAAAAATAAAATAAAAGAGGAACAGAGACGCAGAAGCTTTCGAAGGGTGTAGTTTTCATCAACGTTGGTTCTTATATTGCGAATAAGACGTTATCTACAGGGCAGCGCGTCTTTACACTGGAGTGCTATCCACTCAAAATGCTTCTATGCGCAGCGGTATTCTACGTTGTACGCAAGTGTTCTTTAGACACGACGACGCCAGGAAGCCACCCCAGCCTCCGTACGACAGACCGGTTCAAGCTCTACGACGCAGTCCCGAAACTACGACACTAGTGAACGATGGTAGCAAAAAATTCGTCGCGTGAAATAGTAGCAAGCCTGCCCTGTTTCGCACCAGTTTTTGAAAACCCGAAACAGCATTGCCTCAAGGACCTTGTTGCGTTAGAATCCAGTCACAAAATGGAAAAAACACCGGTCATGAGTTGAAAAGATCGGTCTCGTGAAGGGCCGGGGGGGGGGGGGGGGGGGTGTCATCGTTTGTCATGACTCATGACAAACAATGACTTCACGCCACCGATTTCTTGATCTATAATATATGCTCGTCCCCTCCGACTTCTCGCCAGAGGGAGCACGCGCTTGCTGCCTTCCATGGTGCTTTGACTGCGCGTGCACGCTGGAGGCCCACAAGACGCCGCAAGCGTTATCGAAGGTGGGCAGCTCGCTTCAGAGGCGGGACAACTGAAGTTCCTCCCTGTTCTTCTCATCCTGTCAGTGACACTAATGTGAAACGAAAGCATTGCATAGGTCGTCTTATGGAAACACTGCGTGCTCATTACCGATGCACTATATATGCCTTGTTTCTTAGAAAAGCAACAACTCACAAAAATCATTATAACCGCGATACAAGGACTTGAGACGAAAAACAATCAAACTTCAAATGGTGTGTTTTTCGTATACTAGACGATGCAGTGATTGAAGAATTTTAGACTGATATGAGTTTAAGATACAATTTTGTTTTGTATCAAGTTCGATCGAATAGCGAAATTTTCTGACGACTACTCAACTACAAAGTACGGCTATCCCCGAAGTAGGATTAAAGTGCGTGGAGCGGGTCTCGGAGTGGTGTGTTTTGCCGCGACCTCAAAGTTACCGCTCTATTTCCGTCTGATGACGTCATAGAAGGACATGCTGTCGCCTGCCGCGATCCTGGTGGTCATACAGAAGCGATGGTGGTTGTGGCAGAACACACCCCTATTCTAAGGCAGGTCGCTCTCAAGCTTGACAGTCCTCGGAAACTTCAGCAGACAGGAGTTGTGACGCTGCGACGACCGCGACACTCCCGTTGTCTCGTACATTTTTTTTTTCCGGGAGTTGTAACACCAACCGCCAGGATCGCGACATCCGACAACATGACACGACGGCTTCCTTTTTGGAATTGGTCGCTACTAAAGGCCCACGTTTGGTGTTTGGGCGGGATAGTGGACGATATACAAACCTATCAGAAACGAGTTCCAGGCACTTGCTAGGACGAAATAAATTCTCAATAAAGCCAATCGGGCACCAATCGAACAGAAACCAACTCCGCCTGCAGTAGGCTCCTCATATTTAAAAAAAAATAGAAATAAGTACAAAAAAAAAAAGATGTCGGGGATTGAGTCAATTTTAAACTGAAAATTGTCAAGTGGTCTGACCGTTCTTCCTGAGATGCTTGATAGGCTGCCATGATCAGTGTATTGGCCGCAACGTCTACAGGAACGATGTCCATGACTTGAGTTTTGTCTGCCATGATTGTCGTCATCAGGCCGGATACAGACTGCGTATAACATCGAAATAGCACCCAACATAAGCAGAAAAAATCTTACTTGATTTTGAAGACTCGTTAAACTGGTATTTAACAAGTTCAAATATTTCGCCAGAGTAAGGCGGAGCGATTCCTTGCAATTTCTCGAAACATTTTGTATAATTCATGTGCATCATATTACTGGACATGCCTTGAGGTCGCGTAGTGTAAGCGATTAGTATCAGCCATTGCATTGTGTTGATAAATTTGATATGAACCGATACCTAATGATGCCAAAATTTGTGCAGAGCCGGACGGCGATTTCGTGGCGATTATCCGTTCTAAAACCTTCTGCATTACGCGAAAGCTTCGATAGAGCGGGGTTCGTGTTATGTGAAAGACTTGAATAAAACACACATTCCTTTAGTCAGAAGTGACTAATAAAAAAAAAAAGGAATGCCTCAGTATCTCATTTAAACTTCTTTGTCTCATCGCAAAAAAAAAAAAAAAAAGCACGCATACACACAAAACAAACAAGCATTGTATTTGTGCTACACCACCCGTCCGCTCAATGTTTCCAGAAACCTAGAAAGACGTCGCGATAATGTACAGGGTGCGGCCGCAAGGACTAACACATTTGGCACGCCTTGACAATTTCTAACCCCAACCGTACATACTTGAAATTGGGCACAGGAACGCAGTTCCGCAAGAAGTTTTATATCATTTTTCTTTTTCAGGGCCCAAGTCAGAGTAGGTAAAATATAAAAAAAAAAAAAATAGAGCAAAAACGGTGGCCGTGCGTCTCCTATGTCCTATCCCGGAAGCTCGTCATCTGCATACTGGTTTGTGAGCTTGCTCCCAGGTGATCATCTATTTAAATAAATCTATTACATAGCGCGATTATCTTACTATCCAACCAGCCTCTACTATAGGTTCTTAGCGTGTTTTTTTTTGCGTTCAGCAAGCCACTCGGGAGCGAGATCATAAACCAGTGTGCAGAAGACAAACAGGCTAATATAGGACATAGGAAATACACAGACTCCGATTTATTTTTAATTTTTTTAATATTTCACTACCTCCAAGCTGAGTTCTAAAATAAATACACACAAAACGTCTTGCCAAACTACGTTTTCGTGTCCAATATAATGTAGGTACGTTTGTAATTCGAATTTTCTAAGGCGTGCCAAATGTGTTGGTCCTTATGGGCGCACTCTGAAGATACCCACAAGTACTAAAAGGCGAAAAAAAAAGACAGCTCGTGAAAAGCGCATGGAGAAGAACGAGCAGGCCTTTCCGGTCTGCATCGAACAGTTGCTGCCGGCAGCCAGGAGAGGAAAGGCAGGCAGGAGGGTCGCGTGCTAACGAGACTTCCGCTCAGGCCAAAGACCGAATTTCTCCAAGGCGCGCCGCTTCTTTTGCAAGAGACTTTACCATGCTCAGTGGATAGACTATGCCACCATGTTCCTGCCATTAAAAAGAAGGGCACTCACAAGAGCCTTTACCATGCTCAGTGGATAGACTATGCCACCATGTTCCTGCCCTTACAAGGAGAGGCGCTCACAAGAGCCTTTACCACGCTCAGTGGATAGACTATGCCACCATGTTCCTGCCCTTACAAAGAAAGGCGCTCACAAGAGCCTTTACCATGCTCAGTGGATAGACTATGCCACCATGTTCCTGCCCTTAAAAAGAAGGGCACTCACAAGAGCCTTTACCATGCTCAGTGGATAGACTATGCCACCATGTTCCTGCCCTTACAAGGAGAGGCGCTCACAAGAGCCTTTACCACGCTCAGTGGATAGACTATGCCACCATGTTCCTGCCCTTACAAAGAAAGGCGCTCACAAGAGCCTTTACCATGCTCAGTGGATAGACTATGCCACCATGTTCCTGCCCTTACAAAGAAAGGCGCTCACAAGTGCCTTTACCATGCTCAGTGGATAGACTATGCCACCATGTTCCTGCACTTACAAAGAAAGGCGCTCACAAGAGCCTTTACCACGCTCAGTAGATAAACTATGCCACCATGTTCCTGCCCTTACAAAGAAAGGTGCTCACAGAAGCCTTTACCACGCTACGTGAATAGACTATGCCACTATGTTCCTGCCCTTTAAAGAAAGGCGCTCACAAGAGCCTTTACCATGCTCAGTGGATAGACTATGCCACCATGTTCCTGCCATTACAAAGAAAGGCGCTCACAAGAGCCTTTACCACGCTCAGTGGATAGACTATGCCACCATGTTCCTGCCCTTACAAAGAAAGGCGCTCCAGAACTCAAGAGATCTCAACATGCTGCGGAAGGTTTTTTTTTCTATTTGGGACATTTACTACGCAGCAACCACCGTGAGCGCACTTCTTAATTTCTTTTTGTGTAATTTGTTTTGTGCAAATATTGGACGTCTTCATTTATTTATCTATTTCTCCAAAAATTCATATTTGTTTCTTTTTTCTTTTCTCTAGTACAATTTTCTGAATTTTAATATGGTTTCTTATAGCAGTTTATTTAAAACCGTTATTATGATTACGAGCCAATTCACGCGTTCTTTGACATAAAATTGCTTAAACGTGACCTACCTATTGAAAAATTATGCTTTCTATGAAAAATGATCAATTTGAGGAATGTTTTGAAAAATCTTGCAGGAAAAAAAAAACTATTTAAGTGCTCCACCTAGCGGCAACTGCGTGAGTTATAACAGTGTCAGAAAATCTGGAACCGAATTTTAATATTCACTCGAAGTCCTAGTATAATACATTGGAAGGACTCGGTAGTTGTCTTGTCATATGAACGCTACATATTTATTGAAGCGATCTATTCAATGGGCCAAGGAATGCAATTTTGTGTGTCGCTAATAAACGGCATTGTTATAGAGCCACAAGATTCGCTATAAAGCCAGTCCAGAGTAAGGTATGAACTTTTATACTTACCGCGATCACAAGGAAGACTCCACCCAGTAGTCCGTCTACCCAGCCCTATAGAACATACCACAAATGAAAAAAAGTTATCTTCGGCCTACGTTTCGCGGGGTTAAAGTAGGTTAATTAAACGCAGGCTTTCTCGGCTTAGTTTTCACAGAAAGTTTTAGCTGAGTCAAGCTACATCCTGGAAACAGTAAAATTTTATATTTCTTTAAATAGCAAAGGCCAATGTGCATATCTTACGTATGATATATAAAGTGTGCTAGAATAACGTTATTGTGCTCCAGCCGTAGCAATCTTTTATTTTTTCTACAGTGTATATTTTGGCAGGTCCAATCAGATTGATTTATGTTTCAGGTCTAAGAATGTTTTCCTTCTTATCGCAATAACACTGAAAGCAATAATCGAACGTGACGAGACATTTCACATTCAATAATGGCAAGACACGCGCTTGTGAATTCCGCTGAAACATTTTTGAGCGTTTTTGTTTCGACTGACGTATGTTAGTTCGGATATAACGGTTTTGATATATCGCATACTAATAGGGTTTATTTTGGCAATGGTAAATTAGGCATATATGAAAATATCGGGTAGGACTAAGATTTTTCAGCATTTATAAGAATGAAATCGACAAATGTTTTTGAATGTTTATTAATTTTAAAGAAATTTGCGTATTTCGACGATTCGTTTTGTACGTACGCGAACAAAAAACCGGTTATTATTTGCAAAAATAACAAGAATAGAAATTAAATTTTTCTATTAGTATAGAGCCTTATAATGCTCTATGCTTACCATGATATAAGAGTGGTTGCAAACAATTAACAATGAGTCCGAACACGGGTCGAATGTGGGAGTATCTCCTAAAATAATATTAATTGGAAGCTATTTTTCTTTTCATCCTGCTACCTTCCTGCTCTCTGTGATAACAATTGAACTGTTCTCTACCAAAACTGTTTATGCCACGAAGGAAACAAGTTGCTCTTGCTTCTTTTGGAAGATTCAGTCGATATGGATTTAGTGCCAGTCGAACACTGTCGCCCAGCTTTGACCCCAAAACACACACATGCGACAGCCCATGGTGCCACATAACTGACCTGACAGTTATTTTACTGTCTTCTAGGGTGAGTGATTTTACTAATTCTTGATTGGCGGGGTAGTTGATTTTACTTCAAGCACGCGGGTTGAATAACCAATCTTGCCGCAGACGCAAGGCTGGGGGTGTTAGAAGGCGGATAATAACCGCGCGTTTCCCACGCGATATAGGCCTTTCTAAAATATATTGATCTAGTGGTTTTCGATGACGGCAAGTTTCTAGTAAAAGTAAAATGTTTTTATTTTTTTAAAAGAGTATGAACAAATTTTAGTTAATTATCAGAGTTATCTTGGCGAGTAACCGGCTATCTACTATTCACTTGACCCTGTAACTCAGCTGCACAGAACGTAGTAGTGTAGATCTCACAACTTGTTTTTAGAAAGACGTGTAAAACTTAATTTTGAACACCCTGCATATAAAATACTGAATGCTCGGAATATCGAAGTACTGTCTTCAACTTCGCAGCACCCTGGACGGTGTGTTTCGAAACGAACAGACAACCCTTAGAATTGGGGGCTACATACCGGAAATGGTTCCTTCCACGAAGCGGACACAATGGACGGTCGGACGACGACTGCTGGAAGACCGCGGCCGTACTCTGCAACGACCGACTCAGCCAGACTCTTGGAGAAGACGTAAGTGTTCGGTTTGGCTCCGAGCAGACCCGGCGTCTGTTGCCGGAGAGCGTCTTCGTTCATCGTTCTTCTCGATTTTCGGTCACATGCGTGAGGAGGAAAGGAAATTATATTTTTAATTGATTTCTAAGAACGAGGTTTTGTGGATTAAGAATCTAAACTGCATTTCGGAAGTTATGCGAGTTTCCATAACAATATTTTTTTATTTATAAAGACTCGAGGTCAGTTTTTCTGCAAAGCACGTTACACACCAATTCGTTTGGTCTCCGATGCAAAGAAATCAGCGTAAAATGTGGTTCGGAGGTAGGTTTGTTTAGGAGGAACGAACTTCAGCTTAAATTTCACACAATATTTGTTACAGCATGTGAGCAAGAGCTTTTCTCATAATCTGAATACAGGTTACAAATACTTTGGTTGAAACGCTATATATATACTTTGCGCAATTCACTAATGTTCTATGAAATCTACTGTTTACTTTTTAGTGCCAATACGAAGCAACGGAAAAGAAAAAACACGGACAAGCCGTAAAATATATGAAAAATTGCTCTCCTTGGTCCCCTGACTTCTGAAAAAATGACAGTGTGAACAGCTCAGACGGGTGTCTTACCCTACCCCCCCCAAAAAAAAAAAACACAAAAAACAGTATAACTTTTCGCTATTTGGATTATGGGACTGGAAATCCTATCCGGTTTATATATATATATTTCCGATTTTCAAGAATTATTTCTTTTTCCGCGAATTTGAATTTCAGGTTTCCAGAAACAATTCCAGTTAGATTTCCAGTTCCATAATCCAGATAGTGAAAAGTTTTACCGGGTTTTTCGGTGGGGTAGTTTTTCAACTCTTTGAAAATAAAGACTGATCAGTCGTAGTATAAGACCCGAAGTTTGAAAAAAAAAAATGCTACAGAACGTAGCTGTAATATTGCTGCTCCACGTTACCCCTCCCCTGAACTAGGGGCTAATTAAACCAAAGGTTATTATACTCTGTTCCCTCCTAGATTGGCAGTGTCGTGGGAACTATGCGCTCGCTGAACCAATAAATCACCTACTTCTCTTTTTCCACTTGACCCAGCTCTCTGCGCGTGTGATTGAGGATAATATTTAATCAGTTCATGGTCTAGATTGAGCCAGTGAAATATGTATAGAATAAACTTTCAAGGGCTGTTGGTATTAAAATATAAATATCGATATATGTTTCCCAACTCGGTAACGCTTTTAATCTGCAATTCTCTTTTCTTTTTTAAGCACAATATAACTACTGCTTCTTAGTCTGGGGAAGAGCAAAGACCACAAATATTAAGCAAATGCATATAAAAATGATTTTGTTTTATGTGCCATGTCACGTATGATAGCCATACGAAAGCACGCTTTAATAAACTAAATATTTTGCAAAATTCCGAATCCCTATAACTGTAAGCTTGCTGTTTCCTACAAACAATATTTTAAACACAAAATGTTTACGTAGCAATCTCTCACCTGGAGCCTAGAGAATAGTATATGAAACTCGTAGGTCGGAGGCTTGAATATTATACCGCCATTCAGAGCAACTTACGGCAGTCAGATGCAAAAATGTGCCCTTCCCAGACTTTTAGATTGTTTTTGTGGGCATATCGTTGACACGCTCAATTAATGTGCTAAAATATACGATCACTATTTGTTTGCGATTCACCCATTTATGCTTTAAATGTATAATTACTAAACAAGTCTAAACAAGTTGTATGATTTTAGTTTTGTGTGGTTTTTACTTTATACTTGTTTTTCACATTCCTTTAAAGACAAATATTGTGTTTGTAATTGCTCTCGTTGTCGCGGCCTTGCAAGAGAGAGCTTGTCAAACAACAAATTCAGTCGCTCCAAATCTCCAATTTGGAAATAAATAAAAAAAAAATGAATTTGAATTGAATTCGGTAGGGACGGTAATGTGATCACGTTGCAAAAGATCGATGTATAAGTGCGCCAACGAGCATGTAGCTTTCACCGCACTGATAGCTTAAGGATAAACAGAGTATATCAGGTTATTGCGTCCATTCATTTTGCAGAAAGCTTTATGATGCATAATTCCACCACTCTAATTAAGTTGAAAATTCAGGCGCTTATATATTTTTATATTCTCCGGTAACGATAGTCCTCGGTACAAACGGAGATTTCAGGCACAGTTAATATTATTATTACCGTTATATGTCATGAAGTGGAAAGACACCAGCGCGAGACACCTTAGACAACCCGACTGAGAGTCACAGAAAGCCGTAATGATTATGTCACATAATAAATGTGCATCAATCAATACAGATTCCGACGGTTCTGAATTGTGGAAAATACTAATCGTTTAATTATTTTGTGGAACCTTATTTGTAGAGCTTTGTGGCTACGCGGAACGAATCTTACCTTGCCAACGAAATGATGTCATCGGCTTTTACTGTTGATGGGTAGATTTGCTCTTCCAATGTGTATTCTTCGCAGTTGACGAACACTGTCGAGACGTGGACGATGGCCTGAACAAAAAAGTGTTCGCCACTTGAAAACAGTCGTACGAGTATTTCTCAGCGTGTTTATGTGTATTCACAAGGAATTACTTTAAAACAATGGAAATATACGAGGTGTGATCAAAAAGTTTCGACACTAATTTTGTACTGCAAGCGAAAGACAGGACCGTGATGAGCGCGCAGCAGTCAAAGCCAGTGACCTTCATGTCTCATTATGCCGAAGGACTTTGTTCTGGGTACATTTGGAGCTGCGCTAAACGAGTTTCTATGATCACGTGCTTTAGCACAATGGCGATTTTAGCATCGACTGCAAACCAGAGGGAGAACGAACATCAATTCTGCATCAAGCTCGGCAAATTTAAAAAAGAGACATTTGAGATGATTCTGCAGGCTCATTTCAAAAAGCCCTGAATTGTACGAAATGTTTTGAGTGGTAATCGTGCTTCAAGAATGGCAAAACATTGCTGGAAGATGATATTTCACATCATTCAATTGTTTGTTTTCTATGATCATGAACTTAGTTCGGACCGAAACCAAAGCCTGTTCAACATACAGGAATTATAATACAACTCACGATACAGTTATACTTGACAACTTAGACATTTGCTTCTGACCTTTTTAGGTGCTTCGTGAGCGATATGGGGCAGAGTTTTAAAGCAGTAGTACCTATGGGCATAACACCGTATTTGAAAGTAAACATTTGGCAGAAATCTGCCTGGTTGGGTAAGAACAATTAGAAGAGGGGGAAGGAACGCCAACCAAAAATAAAATGGTGCCCAACGTTTTGAAACCTGCTTGGTTTCTTCTTCAGGGGCGAGTGTGTGCGCGAGGAGCAAGTGGTCTTCTTTTACGGCGGTGGACGTGATGTTTTCGCGATCGTAATGTGGCTGAGCCCGCTGACGTAGGCGGATGGTAATGTCGAGGATGCGTGTGTTGTCGAAGTCAATGCGGTGGTCATTCGATCATTCGAATGACCACCGCATTGACTTCGACAACACACGCATCCTCGACGTTGAGACCAATTCCCGGCAGAGGCTCTTCGTTGAGTCATGGCACATCCAAACCACACCGCAAAACATCAATCGGTCGCTTGGCGCTTTACCATCCGCCTACGTCAGCGGGCTCAGCCACATTACGATCACGAAAACATCACGTCCACCGCCGTAAAAAAAGACCACTTGCTCCTCGCGCACACAGTCGCCCCTGAAGAAGAAACCAAGCAGGTTTTAAAACGTTGGGCTCCTTCTCATTTTTGGTTGGCGTTCCTTCCCCCTCTTCTAATAACACAGTATGTACTTGTGAAGGTAAAAATACCAAGATTACACAATCCCTGGATTATAAGGAAAATCATTCACCTAAACAAAGAGTCCAACGACGCAGAGAAAATATTTGTCAGAAACGTAAAGCTTTAATAAATATTAATGAAATAACAGAACTGAGCGCTGCAATGAAATTTCGGATAAAAGATTCAAGATAAGTAGTTTAATGCCACAATGCTACTGTTCAGCACGCAATACCCCAACTTTTTTAGATACATTAAAAAAAAAGATATGTATATTAAGGTATGTACAGAACAGGGGATTACTACCGACAAGCAAGTTATTGAAGATAGGTTTAATACTTTTTTTCTCGAGCGTGTTCGCAAAATACGATGAGAAACCAGTAGCGGTTGTGTTACCTAGACACATTCCCAAGATGAATGACTTGGCCTTCTCAGAGGAAGGAATACTGACTTTATTAATGAATTTAAAAAGATAACAAAAACATCTAAGTTGACTGGTTCAGATGAAATTCGTAAGTGTTTCTAAGTGTGTACACAGAATGAAGGATCAAATGCCTATTGGTAATTTTTGAGAAATTACTATCAAGAACAATTCTTTCAGAGAACTGGAAGGTGAGTAAGATAATTCCTTTACCGATGGGTGGTGAAATGACATCTTTCAACAACTACAGGTCCATTGCCTTAATATTAACTTTATTCCACAGTTTAGAACAGTTACTGTCTAGGAAACCTGTTCGCCGATTTCTTTCTTGTAACAAGTTTCTGAGCGACTACCACCATGTGTTTCGAAAGTGTTTATCGACAGTGACAGTGATCTTTGGTTCGACAGTGACAGAATAAGGGAAAAGTTTATATAATGTATTTGGACTTAAATAAAACATTTGACAAGGTCAGTCATAAAAGCTACTAACTAAACTGGAATCGTTCTTAGGAAGGAGTAACGTTGTTAACAGCGTCGAGACATTTATCGCAAACAATTTGCTGGTATTCATGAAGATAGATATAAAATATGACAAGTGGAGGCAGCTGCACCACAAGGTTCGGTGCTTGGACCTTTGTTGTTTTTAAAGTAACTTAGTGACGCCATTGTTAATTGCCCTATTCAAACTAGAACATATACAGATCACTGTATTATTTTTGCCGAAGTAAGATATATTGCTTATAAGGTTAGGTTCAACGAGTATTTGCCTAAAAGAGGCGCTTCGTGCAAAAATTGGACAGTGTGGTTAAATACGCAACAACTGTGTGCGTGATCATGACACACGCACGTGAGCAATGGGGGCTTAACAACACAATGTAGGGGGTTACGTTGACGAAGATCACTGAATATAGTACCTTGCAGTTAACTATAACTTCAGCCCTAAAATGAACAAAGCACATAGATAATGGCATTAGTAAAGCCAACAAGAGATTGGGATTCATTCGACACACGCTCAAACTACGTTCAGAGGAAACTAAGCTGATCGAATACAAGATGCTAGTGCGCCCAGTATGAGAATATGCGTGCTAGTTCTTAGATCCGTTTGTAAAATCTTGAGTCAAAACTGGAAGGCGTACAGCAGCGCGCATTGCGTTTTATTTACTCTCGCTTTCGAAGACTGGAATCAGTTTCTCCCCTTCACGGCAGAGCGAATTTACCGCTGCTTGAACTTCGCAGGAAAGAGAACACGTTGATTTTTTTTTTAATACTATTATCAAGCAACTTGGTTCTTGTGAAAAAGCAGTATATAGCTGAAGACATGTCGCGAATAAGCCAGAATAAACACGGGAATCGTGTAAAAGGAAGAAGGTTCAGTAAGGAATGTTTAAGAGATTCATTTTTTTTGTTAGATTTCGTGTGATTGGAACCAACTACCAAAAGTTTTGTGGCTGCCCGTAGCCTGAAAGAGTTCACACTCCTAATTTGTAACGCTTGATAGCGACACCGGATGTGTTTGTTGTATTACAATTGTGTTATTGGACATGTTTAATTTATGTATTCTTGTTTTGGAGCAGGGCTGTGCGGACTGTTTTTGTTGCTGTGCTTGCAACTGACTGTTGGGGTGTCAGCTCGCCCGCGCATATACAGTCTTTTCACAGTCCGATCGAGGGTAGAACGGCTTGAGTGGACCAACGTGAGCCACCTCAGGTTGAGGTCGGCGTCGTCATCATGTTCGCATTTTGTCGGGCAGTAGTTCGTAGTCGAGCTCCCCGAGGCGACAAAGTATACTGTAGTACCGTTTCATGCACCGTTTCAACAGTTTCTCGCTGAGGCCGTGACGAGGAATGGGTGTCAACTTCCACACCCTGTCTACCGGCTGGAAGTCAACGTCCCGACGACGAAGGCTGAGCGGCCAGCGTTGACACCTTGCTGGTCTTGAATCCGGAGTCAGGCGAGCTGGCGGACTTCTTTGTACCTTTGAACAACCACTGGGCGTCGTCTCTCCAATCGTGAGCTGGCTCATTGGGCACTATCACGTCGATTATGGTCGTTACCTCTTGACCATATACCAGCTGGAAAGGTGTAGCTCCAGTGGCTTCTTGAACCGCCGGGTTGTAGGCAAACGTGACGTAAGGTAACACCTCGTGCCACGTCTTGTGCTCCATGTCGACGTACATGGAGGTCATGTCAGCTATGGTCTTGTTTAGCCGTTCCGTCAGCCCGCTCGTCTGCGAATGGCACGCCGCCCTACCGAAAAATCCGGTATAACTTTTCACTATCCGGATTATGGAACCGGAAATTTGTTACTGGATACCCGAAATCCAGATTGCAGACAAAGGAATTATTTCGGAAAACCTAAATTCCAGATAGATTCCAGATAAATTTCCGGCTCCATAATCCGGATAGCGAAAAGTTATACCGGATTTTTTGGTAGGGCGTCGTTTGACAATTGCTTATGTGGCTGAGGCGGAGGGTCTCATGAGTTAGCTGTTCGAAAAACGATGGCCCTCGGTCTGTAATCAGTGCTTCGGGGGCGCCCTGCCTGAGGAAAATGAATTGAACGAATAACTGGGTGACTTCCACTGCAGTTTCCGATGGAAGGGCTATGGTCTCGGCATACCGTTTGAGGTAATCGGTCGCGACGATTATCCACCGGTTTCCTTTCACCGATGGTGGGAACGGTCCAAGCAAGTCCATTCCGATCTGCTGGAACCGCGCAGTCAGGGATGTGATCGGCTGCAGGAATACTGCCGGCTTTGTCGGTGGTTCTTGCGTTGTTGGCATTCATGGCACAATCTCGTGTAATTGTGGACAGTCTTTGGGAGCTTGGGCAACTAGTACTTTTCACGAATTCTGGCCAGTGTCCTGCTGTAGCCGAAGTGCTCAATAATCGGGTCATCACAGCATGCTATTAATTATATCTTCACGGAGATTTTTGAGAATTACCAGAAGCAATGTTGAATTGCTGGCTTTTTGCAGAGTGCACCCTGCCGTATGACGAAGGCTTGTATAAAACGGGCCAGGGCACAAGGGAGAGGGATGCCATGACCTTCCATGTACTCAATCACTGCATGAAGTCCCGGGTCGTTTCACTGAAGTACTGCCATGTCCTGGACATTGATTGCGCCGATAAATACATCGTCGCCATCGTTGTTGGTAGACGTAGATTTTGACTCGAGGGGTGCTCTCAACAATCGGCGTTAATGTGCTTGCGGCCGGACTTGTCTAGGATGGTCATGTCGAATTGTTGCTGTCGGAGACTTCAGCGAGCTAAGCGTCCCGAGGAGTCCTTTACCTCAGCGAGCC